CATTAGTGTTTATTTCAGCTTAAACATTTCTCCAGAATTCACCTTCAGTTTAGTTCTCAGTTAAATAAGTGGCCAAAAAGTTTGGCCGTTGCCCAGTTTCTTTTCTGGTTTCCTCCATTAGACGCTGGTCACCACACTAAACCTTTTCCCTTCTAGACGTCCAGTGGGACTGACCACGTAAAGTGGCACCTTCATCATTTTGCAAATCACTGCTTCTTAAAAGAAATGTTAAGAAAATCAGTTGTTATTGCACTCTTTTTTTTATTGCACTCAAGATACAAGAACAGTCTTCTATGATCCAATACAATCTCTATAGCAGTAAATTTGTAGCCTAAAATATCTTCTATTTCCAACATCACAGCAGAATAACCAGAACATTGTTGTTGTTTTTTTTATTATTTTGCTTTTTTGTGGTGAAACCACAACAAGTACTGCAGCAAGTCGAGCTGTTCTGACGCTACATATTATGAGGTGTGTATCAGGAGCTTACAGTGGAGTTAAAAAAGACTCTGGTGTCACACTGCTTTAAGTAAACTGCTGGCAAAACAACAAATTTTGATGGATGAAGGATGGAGATGATGGAAAAAGTTGAATGCAATCATTACCTGATATTCTGTGCTCATATTGGCAATTAAACTTTAAGTATAGTGATACTCAGACTGTGGGGGCGGCCACTTTGAGGCAAATTTTCACCCAACATTTTATCCCCGTTTGCCTGTAGTGGCTTTAAGATGAAGGCTTACCTATACCTTTTTCTATCATAATAATAATAATAATAATGGATTAAGATATTGAGTTGGGAAAACATTACAAGCAACAAATCATTGCCCTTATAAATATCACCTGTTTCTGTAGTTTTAGTTACATATTTGTCCCTCCTGTGTGAAAAGAACAAAGATCTTCATCATGGCTCTTCACACACTAACTTTAAAAGTTTGAACTGCACAAAAATTCTAACGTTAATGTCGGCCAGTGACATGTTATTTACTGATATGCCAACAAAAGTGAACAAGGCCAGTGTTGGCCAATGAATATGCAATAGCAGCTTAATATGTCAGCAATTATTATGATGATTAATTTCTATTTAAAAAAAAAAAAAAAAAAGTTTCAGCGTTGAGTAAACGTTTCCCTTTCCTTGTGAGTGTTGCACAAAAACAGACCTCTGAACCTTGACTGCACTCCATCTTTGGAACCTGCTCATTAATTTGACAAAATATCAAAGCAAATCAATCTAAAACCGGACTTTGATAACATGCAAGACTGTTGCTGTGATCTGAAATATACAGTTAAGCCCATAAACATTTGGATAATTGACACTTTTTGTAATTTCACCTCTGATGTAAAATCCACTGTGGTGCTGTGAAAACGGTCTAGATGTGATTAAAATGCGGATTTTAGGCTTTGATTCAACGGAGTTTTTACAGTTGTATTTATAAATATTAAAATGATTTGCACAGCATCAAGTTTGTTTTTAATACTTGGATGAAAACCCTTTTGCAATCAATGGCTGGCTGAAGTCTACAGACGTGGTCGCGTACAGAGGCATAATTACAAAAACTATGTCATCATCCAAAATCACACACACCTAACTAGTTAAAAGGCAATGTAAAAAGTCTAATAGTCAATTAAAGTTAATTAAAAATAAGCTTCATTTGCCTCCACTGCAGACAACCAACTAAACAACTTGGCAGAGATAAAAGAAATTCACTGTTTTCTGCTCACAAATTTCAAAATTCTCACTGAATTTAAACCTGTAAATAGGAGCGTCGTCTTCTTTGCTCTCTTACGTGAAGTCCAGCCGTGTCAGTGAATCAGCCATGAAACAAAAGATTACCACCTTAGAAAGGTCACTGAACGCACCGGCAGAGCGCGCGTTTGTTTCCATTACAATAACTCACAATTAACTTTACATCATGTATTTAAAAAATATATTTAAAAACACCACAAAACTAGTCTCTGTAGGACATTCATTATTGTAAAACTATGTAAATTATTTAACATTTAAAAACAGTAAAAAGTATTGTCGAATAGACAAAGATAATAATTGTACAGCCATTTGAAGGAAGAAAAAAAATCACCTGGATCCCTTTGCTGGAACATTTAAGAATTGAATTCACACAACAATCTAAAAGAGAACAGTTTGTCCATCAGAAACCAACAATTACACTGTGTATCTGAGTATATATTGTTTAACACAACGCGATTTTTGACACGATAAATACACAGCAGACGCGTCTCTGCGTGTGCGCGCTGTTTTGTGTCTATCCTGATCGGCTGCTTTGCTGCACAATGTTCCACCAAAGTGACACGATCGCATAAAACGTACAAGAAATACAAACATCGATAGTCGTACCTAAACGTGACGTTTCACTAGTAACCTGCACATAAAGTCATTAAAATCTGTGACACTGATATTTTTTTATATATTAGATTTCATAGTAATAAGACCTCAAAACGAAATAAAAAACAAAACAAAACGTAGTACTACTGCTACTCTTTTTACTTACAGTAAGCTGCAGCAACACGTGCTTAGAATCAGGCAAAATTGTCAAAATATTGTGAAACTGTGCATTTCATTTCGGCTGTATTAAAAACAGTCTGACGCATGTATGGTTTCCTGTGGTGCAGGACTAAAAAGTACCCACTTTCTCGTCTGACGTGCTCTGCTGTAACTCAGTGCCAGCTGCTACATTTGAATGCATGTAAATATTTTCACACAAACGTCAGCTACATTCAGAAAATACGAGGCTATTTGAAAATCTCTATTCGTACTCTCTTCGCAGCACGGACAAAATGACTTGAAATGACCAGCTTAAATTGTGTCAATATGATGCGAAACTCCTGTGATGTGATTGAAAAGTTATTTCTTGGTAAGATTCAAAACTGCAGTGGTTTCCCTCTTTTTTATTTGCCTGCTTATGTTTGGACGCCTTCTCTACTTTTAACATTAGGCCTAAAAATGGCCTTTTTTGATAAAGCATATAGGATCACATGACCCTGAAGCCTCCCTTAGTTATGATTCAATACACCTAGACTTCTGGGGGGGCTTCCCATGATGGACCGAGTCTTTAATCCCGACTACTGCTGGGGGGGCTTCCCATGATGCACCGAGTCTTTATTCCTTTTTTCATTCTCTATCTGCTTACACACCACTCAGCATTTAATCAGTAGTTATTAATCTCTGCATCTCTTCCACAGTGACTTTATTGTTCTGTGTCCCTCCCCCTTACCCCTCACTGGTCAGATGGCCGCCTGAACCAGGTTCTGCTGGAGGTTCCTCCCTAATAAAAGGGAGTTTTTCCTTCCCACTATCGCCATGGCCGGTTTTCTCCCGATTATTGTGGGGAAAGAAACATATCTTATTCCGTTTGATAAAGACATTTTTCTGTACTGTATACAGAGCAGGATTTTTACTGTTGATGCATCATTTTTGCCCTCCATCCAAGCTGTGTAAACCTTTCTCAGCCGCTTTGATTTTTGTAGTCAGAAATAAAAAAATAAATAAAATACTGAATTCTTGCGTGAAAATATGTGGATTCAGTATCAGACACAGGTCAGTAAAACGAACCCTCCCAGAAACCATTTGTCCTTGTTGCCATGGTGAAGTCAGCTAGGTAGTGATGTTGTCATGAATTAGCTTGGCTGAATTACCACTGAAAATCTAAATAAATGAAAAAAGTAGAACATGTAAATTTGCTCTATTACTATTGCTCTAAAATGAATGGAGAACAGTGCGATCTGAAATCTATCCAGCAGAAATGGGAAAGATTTGCAGATTTTTCTGCTCTTAGGGTTGCTAACATGTATCTCCAATAAATCTTGGTTGGTGCTGGACTGGATCAGCTGGGGGGGAGGTGATTGGTTGTTGGCCCTTTCAATGTGCCTGTAGGAGTCTCATTAAGAGTAGAGAGTTTTTGAAGAGATGCCCTCAGAGTGCACCAACCAAAACTCCAGATCAATGGCAGTTTGTCAGCATTTCCACATTGACAAGTTGCACTTATACACCTCTATATTTCAGAGAAAAGTATTTACGTCTCTGCGTTATCTTGACAGATTTAGTTCTGAGTTTATTTTCAGACTACATACAGACATAAAAAACTGTACTAAGAGCTTAAGAGATTAATACTTTGCTATAAGTTATATTGGAGTTTTTGGTTGTTTTTTTTTTTAAATTTTATTTCAAATTAGAGATGAACGGATATTTCATGACTCAGAGTCCTGGACTATAATCCAGGATTAAGGGCTTGAGTTTTTAGTTTTACAAAGATAACTATTTTTGTAAAAGATAGTTACAAAGTTACACTTTGTAAAGAAGTTACACTTCTTAGCAGGAGTAACTTGTACAAATCTAAACCTTTTCATTGTTCTATAATTGTTAATATAGCTATAGCTAACTTTTGTACTTATTGTCCTTATGTAAAATTAGCAAGTCAGCTAAGCCTACTAACTGGACTGAATTATTTTCATACACTGCTTGAGAAAATAAAATAAAACACTTAATCGTCCCAGTATGCCACAGAGTCATAAACATAAACCACCGTGAATCTGCATTGGTGCAAATGAAAGTGACAAGTGCAGTGGAGATGAATGGCTACCCCCCATGACGGCTTTTTTAGATTTGCTTTTTCTAGTTTTTTCTAGTTTCGCTTTTCTGCTAGACTCCTTGTTAGTTCTTGTTAGTTCCTTGGTCTGTGAGAACAGGTCCCGCTAAAGGAGACCAGGGCCGCCTGTTTCAGACAGCTTGGTCAGAAACATGCAAGAGTAACCCATTGGAGGTCATTTGCAGCGCTCTAGAAGTACTCTTCTTCCTCATTGTATACAGGAGAAGACAGCAGTCTTGCAGCAGGATTGATGAGTTTTGTAGTGCTCTCTCTCACGTAACAGCCCACTTTCTTCCTTACAAAAGCACCAAACGATGTCTCATCCTGCTGAAGCTGGACAACCCGTAAACCTTGAATGCAACTGCAACTACTGTTACAAGAAGTTGGCAAAAGGCGAATCTAGAGAAAAATCAGTCAGGAGAGAGAGCTGCTCTTTGGGGGTCATCATCTTGTTGTCACTTTCATTTGCACCAAAGCAGGTGAAATGTATTCGCAGTGATTCCTAACTGGACAGAGCAACAGACCAGAAGTTTAAATGACTTTGTGTTACACTGAGATGAGCCACTGTTGTTCTCAGACATGTAACAATGACTAGTTTGCAACTGAAGGACTTAAACTGTCTTAAACCCCACAGGAACTTTCTTTTAGGCAACCAGCACCTTAAAGTAACGCAGAGTAGTAGTAGACCCTTTCTACCTTCATGATTGAGCAGTGATTGAGTATCTTGCATTTAGCTATAAATGGCTTATACTCATGTAGCATTTTATGTTTTAATGAGCAAAGTTGTCTTTCTGTCACACGTGCACTTCTTTAAGTCTGACCTTATCTGATTTGGTTGTTTTTTCTTTTAATATTACAGTTTTGTAAATCATGTGGCAACAGTGTCAATACTATTGTCCATGTTTACGACTGGTCATCTGCAAACACAGTCCCTCTCACATGAACTCAGTCATTGCTAATTAAAAAACAAACAAACCCTGGCTTGACTTTTCTGAGTTAACCTTGTCAGATTTATTGGGTTTTCTGATGTTAGGATAACTGAAGCCAGATAAGAAAACATCCCTTTTAAGGTGGACTTGCTTCAGAACACAGGCCTTTGGTGCACCTCATCTCCAAACCAATTTAAAATGTTTTTTAAAGCAATTTAGCAAATTAGTCCACAGCTGACAAATTTAGCTGCGACATGACCTAATCATGAGCCTCATCCATCACCTGAAAGCAGAACAACCAGTCATCAGTCCAGCACCGACCATAAAGCTTTTATAATAGCACGTTAGCAGGAAAGGAAAGCAGAGTGGCTGCTGTAATACTTACACAGAAAAACAAAGATTCAGCTCAGTTCTCTGTACAATCATCATCAAAATATTGGCCATTAAATAACCACATTACTGTGCAATAACAGCACTTCAACATCTTTTAAGTTACATAAAAGATTACATGTTTTTTAAATATTACTAAAGGCCCAACAGATCTGCTGCCTCCATCTGCCACATTCCTACATTTTCTGCTAGATCACCCAATTTAATACCGAAAGACTGCTTTTAAACACTCCACTGTACAAGAAGGACAAAAAAAAAAAAAAAGCTAAAACTTTTTGTGTAGTTGCATGTGTACAGTATCACCCTAACAAGTGCCACTGAGTTGCAGAGGAATTAACAAGAGGAACACATCAATGCCGTCACTTTTTTTCACTTTTTTTCACTTTTTTTTGGCTTCAGGAAGGAGGACGTGTGGTAGAAAGGTAGATACTCAGCATGGTGTCTGAGTTGGGTTGGCCTTTGATCTGTACGCCTCACATCTGCCCAAAGAGGATAGAGCAGAGCAGGAAGATGGCATAGAGAAACATTAGACCCAGACCCAGCCGACGGTCCAGTCTCCAGTGGTTCAGATGAACACTCAGCACCTGCAAGCAGATGCAGAGCATGCAGACATGCTGATCAGGGACAGAATCGCCTAGAGTCCATTTATTTTAATTAAAATTAGCTTTAATGTATCTACCTTTTTAGTTTAGTTTTTGTTTAGTAAAAAAAACATAACTGGACAGCTTTCTATTTATATACATTTCAACCCCAAGGGGGCAGTGCAACATGTTGCAAGCTTTGCTCTCCACCACATCCTGAGGGAAACATCTGGTTCATTAGCTGCAAGCTGCTCCACATGTTTGCCAACTTTGTTAGTGTGGCAACTGGTGCCGAGCACCCAATGCACAGCTGATTTAATAGAGTTATTTTGTAGCCTAATGAACACACACTGGTGAGTGTATATTAAGTTTGCAGCAATGTTGCAAACCAAAACACTCAAAGAGCCCCAAACCTGGCTGAATGATCTAATAGCATTATTGATTCGTATGACTTTAAATCTGTTTGATATAGAAATGTACTGGGTGGGATTTTTTTAAAACCCCAAATTTAGCAGAGCTCTCTGCTGTACACTTTATACTGTTTACACCTTTCTGAACATCAACACCTATATATCTGTGCAGCCTTTGGTATTTAGCATTTACTTACTGTTAGAAACACAGACGCCAGCAGCAGGATGACAGAATATACAAGTCCTTTATTATTTATGGATATCTGTGGGAAAGAAAAACATCAGTGTTATGACCATCAAGCAGAAGTGAGAAGCTGCAAACCTTCGCTCTGATAACTCGCACAGAAAAATTAGTAACCCGGGAAAGAAAGAAGTTTGAATAGGTGTTACATAAAGATGAATGTAAGCATTACTGTTGATCCGTGGTCCACCACAAGTGTACGCAAAGCCCAGGGGAAACCCAAACCCAGCAGGATGTCAAAGATATTGCTGCCTACAGAGTTGGACACTGCCATGTCCCCCATGCCTGAGTAAAGACAGGAAAAGTGACAGAGAAATGCTTAAGTACTTGCCTCACAAAGAGACATAAAAATGAAAGGGAGAGACACATTTACCTTGTCGAGCTACAATCAGACTCGCCATGCAGTCAGGCACGCTTGTCCCTGCTGCCAGGAAGGTTATGCCCATGATGTAGTCTGGGATGTCTAGTGTGAAGCTGATGATGGTGACCTGATAGAAACATATAGAAAATATCAGGATAAAGTTATCTTACTGGTCTATAAAAACCTTCAAACTAGTTTTTGTTTTTGTTTTAATTTACAAACCAACATGCAGATGTACATCACATCAGTTTCAGCAGGTGTCTGAGAATACAAGAGATACTGTAGACAGAAGACCAGCTCTTACCATCCACACCATGAGGTAGGAGAAGACAGCGATCCATAAAGTGGAGGCCACAAAGGTGACCATGAACCAGCGGTGCCAGCGTGGCAGGATGCAGTTAGGCACAGTGCAGTAGAGCAATAGGCCCAGAGGCCATGTGATCACCCACTTTACCCGCGCACACCAGCCATCTGTGATGAGACAGCGTTTGGACTGTATCAGCAATCAAGGGGTTAACATGATAGAGGAGTAAGATCAATTTAAGGCAACAATAAACTGACAAATTCTAGCTATATTTATTGAAGGCTGTTCAGAGGCCAGCGAAAGCACAAGTAATCCCTGTGATTACTCTTGGGGCTTCATGATATCCTTAATGTGATTATCTAAGGTGCACAGCTCTCTGTCCACCCCACCTGGCGTTTAAACCTCCTGTTTTTTAAGGGGCAGCCAATCAGAAGAAAGTTTATTTAGAGGCAGGGTGGCCTTAAACAGGCAGGAGGTAAGTGGGTAAACTCGGGGGCTGCAGAGAGATGAATAAGAATTATTTTTAACCTTGAATCGTGCGGCGCTTCTCTAGTAGAGCAAAAGACTATGGAGTAAGAAATGAGCATTATAGCACAATCGTCAATCAGCTAATCAATCAAATCATTATATCGAACTTAGAAGCAACAAGTGTTATTACACATTAAAAAATGAACAGAAAATCAGCGAGAGCCATCATATTCACATGGAAAACTCTCTTTTTTATTGCTTAAGCATATAGTTAAGGGCCTCCCTTAGTTATGCTGCAGCAGGCCTAGGCTGCTAGGGGCTTCCCATGGTGCACTGTGCATTTCTTTTTCACTCACTATGTGTTTATGCACCACTCTGCATTTAATTATTCGTTATCATTAATGTCTGGCTCTCCTCCACAGCGTGTCCTTGTCCTGTCTTCTTTCCCTCACCCTCAACAGTCAGCTCAGATGGCCAACCCGACCTGAGCATGGCTCTACTGGAAGTCTCTACCTGTTAAAAGGGAGTTTATCCTTCCCACTGTTGCCAAAGTGCTTGCTCATAGTGGATCGTCTGACTCTATATTATTGTTACTATGTTACTAATAATACTGAGTTATCATTGTAGGGTCTTTAGCTTACAATATAAAGTGAGGCAACTGTTGTCGTGATTTGGTGTTAACGGAATTGAACATTTGCTTTTTGAAAAGGAGGAGAAAGCAAATGTTTATGAAGTCCTAGCCCTATCTAGCTCATCTTATATATCTGTTTTGATTATACAGTCTAAAATATACATTCCTCACCTGGAATGCGCACTGGACTGAAAATCCCATCTTCATCGTCATCTTCTTCTTCTTGCTGGCCCACCTCGGCCCCTGGCTTGTCTCCTGACTCTGTGTCGACCATCCCGGGTCTCCTGCCTCCGTTCTCCAGACTGCAGGAGGCTGTCCTCTTCAGACTGTTGCTGGTGGACCCCCCTCTTGACCCGGGTCCGGCCTCAACGTCCCGTTGATTTTTTGAAATACGGAGCAGTCTCTGTCTCTGCGGTCAAAAAAGATCATTTAGAATTTTTCGTCTTGTGCGCGAGTGCGTCACAGTATGTGAGCATTAAATACCTCACTGATGAGCATGCGTCCGGCCATGGAGAGCCTGGTGCGGGGTGAGAAGTGGGGGGTGATCATAATCCGCAGGCCGGCCTCTGAGAATGACAGTTTGTGAGGGTTGAGGATGAGAAGCTCATCTACCATGACGACTGGAGAAGCCTCCTGACCATGGGCTTGGCCTGTGTATGAGATGTTGGCAATGAAAAGCACAACATATAAAACTACTTCATTCACACTCGACACACAAATCATTTAAAAAAACAAAACAAAAACAAACCTTTGTTGAGAAGCACCATCGATGTGTTGCACGCCGAGGTGTCTTCTCCCAACTTGTTGTCTCGCCGTTCTTCTGATCGGAGGCAGCACGGCCTGATGCTCCTCAACCGACGTGTCACAAACACAAAAATCTGGGAGTTGAACCTGTGACAGAGCAAACCACCATCTTACACCATCCAAGTATTCTTACAACTCACACATATGGAGCTTTACTGACTGATCAGGAGGTTTTGTCTTCAGGAAGCTTACTTCATGATGATAATGTAGATTCCATACATCGTCATTAGCAGTAAGGACTCCCACCTGCACAGTGAGCAGAACGTTTATGTAAGTCTGACCTTCACAGAATCAGTGTGCATTGGGAACAACTTGGGGTTCAGTATCCTGCCCAAAGACTGGAGCAGTCAGGGATTTAACCATCAGCCTTCCAATTAGTAGAGGACCTAAGGCTAAGATTGAGCTCGTAATGCTGCACACTGCATTTTTCTGGGGGGTTATTCCATCTGTATTTCAAATGTGAACAATAACGTGACTTTCTTTTTTATTCAAATTGGGAAAATGATGGAGAAAACACCTTTACAAATACTTCATATAATATTTATGGAAACTTTGAAAAAGAGAGATCTCTTACCCGAGGAGGACTATCACACTATTTTCAGATGAACATGTTGTCTGTGTTTTATTTCAGCTTTAATATCCCTGAAATCCTTCACTTGTTTTAAACTCTTTAAAAAAAATCTCAAGCTGCAATAAAACTCTGTGGTTTCTACAGATCTCAAAAACTGCTGCCAGAGATGCCACATACAGATTACAAACTTTCTATGTTAACTACACTCCAGGGAGTCCATATTATCAGAGCCACAGTCTTAGTATTAAGTGATATTAAAAACCGAGGACCAAATTCAAGCAGTTGAGCCATTTTTTAGGATGGAATTTAAATATCCCTGCTGAATAAAATGCTATGAAAGCATCTATAATCACTCCTACTTCTTTTTTTTTTTTTTAAGAAAACTAATGACAGTATTGACCTCAAACTCTCCAGAATTCCTAATAAGAATTCCCTGAATTTTTGTTTTCCTCAGCGTGAAAAGTCTCTTGATAAATTGAGAATGCTTTGTTTAGTTAGGATAATTTAATTAAACAGAAACAGCTGTTTATTTAACTTTAAATCTATCCAGCTCGCTTGACCACACTTCCTCCTCTTCACTGATTGGTTTGTGTTCTTCTTTGGTCACCTTTTATTCACAGTTTCACTCTGTCACAGTGTAGCAGTTCAGTCTTTGGTAGCTTACAAAAGAAATGTATTTATTTATTAAATCTTTTTTTAAAGATAGAAATGTGGGACACATTTATCTTTTATGTTTCCCGCTTTTGTTTGAATATTTATAACTATAATTTATGTATTTATTTAGAATGGATGGATGGAGTTTTGCAAATTTAAGCGTTTATCTGTAAATTCAGGCTTTTATTCATTTCCAACACTTTGATCAGATGCCCATAATGAAAGTCACCTTTGTATTCTGAACCTCTGAATTGCCAGAAACCACCAAAAACATGGCTTTAAAAGTCCATTATCATTCAGATTTTTCCTACAGACTGTCATTTGAACTCAGTAACATAGGAGCGCCTTAAACCAACTTCTTATAGTTTCTTATAGTTTGTGGTTGAGGAGTCAGTTTTGCTCAGAGAGATTCCAAACTCAGTGAGGTATCCCAGAAGCATCTGGACAGGGGCCATGACAGTAGCAGATCTTCTAAATACTAAGAAGGGGTACTTCAGTGCTTCCTGTGATGCCTCCTTTAGCAGAGGAGACACTTGGGCATCATTTATTAAATTGCAATCCAAAGTGATGGAGTGTGCAAACAAACATCCAACATATTTTCCATTTCCATTGCCATACTCTGCCGATATGTCTCAATGCATGCTCACTAATCCAGTGAAAGAAACCCTGATAAAGTTAATTCTGTTCACCTGACTGCAGCTTCTGCTTCTTAGTTGAGCGATGAAAAGTTTCTCCCACTGAAAACATTAAATCTGGATAAAGTGAATCAACTTTCTCGAAACTAATAAAAATGTTTTCAATCGGAACCTTCAACAGGTTCTTAAACCCACACATGAGCTATGAACATTACAACATGAAGGTGGAGAAGATCGTAACTTGGATAAAAAAAAAGAATGCATACAAAATAAAGTACAAGAACATATGAGTAGAGAAGACGAGCAACTAATCTCAATTTTATAAGCACTGCGTTTCACTTTATATATACAAATTTGAATATAAATCCTTTAAAAAAATGCATTTAAAAAGCCTGCAATTAGTCATCCTAACACTGCATTTCTCTTTTGCTAAGTCCTTATGAATTCCCCTTCATATCTTTCCTTGACCCCATGGCTTTTCCCATAAAGGTCAAAGAGAAGTGAAGTGTTTTGTGAATGATTTTTTATATAGGGATATAAATGTAGTTGAAATATATATAAAAACATCAACACAAAACAAGGCAGTTCAGAAACACTGACACAGAGTGAGTCATACAAAGCAATTTGTAAAATAAGCAGCTAAACGTCTAGTACACACTGTCCAGTTCACTTCAGATTATGCATGTTTTCTCTTTGTCTTTGAATATGAATTCACTGAAACTGTCCCATTGTTCCTTGGCCATCTCTATTTTTTACAGCTAAGCCTTCACAACATCACTTCTCAACATCACTGCCACATTTTCACTGTCACAGTTTGAGATTCTTTCCAAAACCTGAGAATTAGTCAGGCACGAATCCCTAACCCGACCCTCAATAGGCCCACTGCATACTTATTCAGCTGTGGCATGACACCACTGTCTCCAAGGAGACACAGTGTTGGTGATCTAGGCAAATCACACTTCAACCATTGGCCGATACAATCGTAAAGATGTCTTCAAAACAGAAAAACTTTAGCACACTCGCGTGCATGCACATAAGTGCCTCTTTTTGTGTTACATTCCCAGCATATAGCATCCTTAATTAAACCCATTTTGTTTAATCGAGAAGGATAACAGTAAATTATTTTATATTGGATAAAGTTACTTCTACTTTCCCTGATTTGTGAATAAATAAAGCTATGACTGACAACAGTGAAACGGACACAGAGAGCACAATAAGTTCAGTGTGCTGCAGTCTGCTCTGTCCTTTCTGAACTACTTTGAGCACTAGGATGCCAGGGAACAAGTTCAAATACAATCCGTACCAACAAACAGGACTGACAGTAAAAGACGCCGCTGCAAACAGCGGTGAGGTGAAATACACCAAGATTGCCTCGGTGTGGGACTCAATAAACAGCCTGCTATATATCACGAAGGAATTCAGCGCCACAGTGGACATTAGATCCTTGAATAAATCTACCCTTTCAATAAAATCCCAACACTGCAAACAATGGAAAGCTCTTTTACTCTAAAGGTCTCGGGACGAGAAGTGAAGAAGGCATCCAGAGCGGGGGGAAAAAAACAGCTGTAAAGGAAGAGTTACACAAAAGAAATCAATCTAACAACCAGTATCAAATCAATCTTACAAATAAGCTGCAAATGACTGAAATGAGTGCCACTGATGGCATAAACCTCCAAAAGAAATCAATCAAAATTAATTTACTAACATTTTCCTTTCATGCCTCTGATTAGAAATATTTGTTCAGATGTTACTATTTTTCAAGAATAAATCAGAAACATATTAGATTTACCACAGTCCGTTATCACAGCTATAATGCTGCCATTACTAATAAATTAAAATACGCTTTAAATTCATTTTTTGTGACATTTACAATTCTCGTCATCAGTAAACCGCAAACGAGGAATAAAATCATGTCAACAGGAACGTCAGCTCCTGTTGCAATCCAACCCATTTAATCCGATTCCTGACAGACTTTTTAAACACACCGAGTCTCAAAGGTCAAACTGAGCTCATTTATACAAGCAGTGAAAACAGTGTAAAGTACTGGCTCACACAAAAAAACAGGGAGTTGAAAATTTCTTAAAACAACCTTTAAGAATGAAAAAGCTGTGTGGACTCACCAGACGACTGTGGCATCATAGATGACCTAAGGAGAAAGAAAAGACAGTTTAAAAGCAAAAAGGATGACACGGAGCCCAGAGGAACTACTCTTTATTGTTTAAATGTGTATCTCACCATGATGAGAGTCAGTACTGACAGGATGTAGTAGGAGGAATCTCTAAAGAGAGACCACCATGTCAGAACCACTGTCTGTGGAGAACAGATACTCGTGTTACAATATTTTATTATTCATTATTCAGAGCTGCGCATGAACAGGTTTCTTCTATTGCAATGTCTTCTATTACATTTTATTAATAACATTTGCCAATTATCCATTTCAAAGCCAGATTAAATGAAGGTTCTTTACACCAGTTTGATAAGTTGCTTTGTCCTGAGATGACCACGCTCAGACTAAGCCCCTCTGTTTGGCAGTGGAGTGGAAAAAACTGTGGAAGACCGAGCCTTTAAAGCAGTCTGAACTCATTTGAAACTTTAATAACGTTTAACAAACACATCACCACTGTAGCAATATCTAAAAGCACAACAGTTTCCCTTTAAACAAGCATGGAAAAAGAAAAGTTACACCACATGTGACAAACATCTGGCTGTAAGATGTGAGTAAGAGTCACAAGTTTAATCTACCTGGCCTGCAAAGATTCCACTCAAACCAATTATGACCAGGATGTTGAAGACAGCTGAGCCCACGATTGTGCCGACGCCAACGTCCCCTTTAGTGATGAAGACACCTGAAAAAGTGCAGAGGATTTGTCTGATGTCAGATAAAATCTGTCTGTCATTCTGTGTTTTTAGGGGCTGTTTATCCTTGTAAACCCCAGATGAGAATCAAGCTAAAATATGATCTACTAAGAAAAATCATTGTGCTGCTTTAAACTGGACTCTGCTGACATCTCCTGGATATGTCCGGTACCTACTTCGATCAGGACCTTTGAAACCACGAGAGGATTGAAGAGAGCCAATCCTCTCCCAAAAGCTTTGCTTTATTTTGAAAGTTAAGCAATTCTTTACCCATGCTCCACTTCACCAGGTTTTGGCACTGTCTGCTGACAAACATCACTTTTTCTCATTTAATCTGATGACAAGCAGTGAAAACAAATGCTCTCTCTGAATGGAAAGAGCTGCTACTTGGTTAAGACTAGCTGGGTTACTAACCAATGAGAGAGGTGAAAAGCTCTGGAGCTGAGCTTCCAGCAGCCATAAATGTGGCCCCGGCTACATCTTCACTGAGCTGAAGGTTCTGGAAAATTTAATTAAAAAACAGTTTGAATAGTCCGATAATAATATTTTAAAACAATAAATTTATATCTGAAGGCCAGCTGGGGCTGGTTTTCCTCACCTCAGATATTTTCTCAAGGGAAGGAACAAAGTAGTCATCACAGACAATTGCCAGAGCGTAGAACATGTAGATGGCCTGGAAGAGAGGGAACCATACACACTTTGCCTTTACATAACATAAACCAGCTATACATGTCGTCCTGTTGTGTGCGTTTATTCTGCATTGATGTCAAGTGTCAGCATCATGACTCAGGGTTATAAATGGAGAGGAAAAATGTGCAGATTTGAGGCAACATTGCAAGAAATACTCACACAGAGTGCATGGAGACACACGGCCCCATTCTTCCTCTGCTCCTTGGTGAAGATGTCCTCTGGAAACTCATGGATGGCTGCAAGGTACACACGTTTTATTAAATAAATGCCAACTAAAAACTGAAACCTGCAACCTGCAAACAAAACAAAAAACAGAAAGAAAAAAACCCAGAAGGCTATTTTTATTAATCATCATTTGTAAACACGTTTTAAATGAATATATAATTTTTTATCATCATCATCATCATCACCAATTTCAGGTAAGATCTCTGACAGACAAGCTACAAACTGCAGCATCACAGAGACGCAGTGTTCGTTTTGCAGTGACAAATGAGACAGGAAGTGAGGTGGAAGTGAAACTGGCAGCTGCTTCCTGTCCTCCCTTGAGTTTAAAGAAAAAAAAAGGGGGAAAAAAGAACTGTTAATGACAGCTTAGCTCCCCTCTGTTCCCTCGACACTGCAAAAGAAAGCCTTGAGTGTGTGGTACAGCTCCAATTTACAACTCTGAGCCGAGCTGGATGAATGTAAACTACTGGGGAGCATGAAGCTATTAATAGCCCTTGTGCTCTGTGAGACAACAGCGGGTCGACAAGCACACAATAAGCACAGCGTAGCCGCCACGATACACGCTGCACCTCGGCTGCATGGAAACCGAACAACAGATTGCATGGATTAAAAGAGGGTCCCCTGTGATCAGGAATATGAGATTTGATCTTTGACTCTGCAGCGGCAGAGATCGAGAGGAGGAGGAGGCCATATGGTCCCGATGAGGGGGACAGAAATTTGTTCAGTTTGAAAAAATAAATGTTTGTGCAGTGACGTTTCTGCATTTTTGCTGTTGTGCCACGAACTGCTTCTTGTGCATGGTTTTTAAGAGTCGAGATGAGTTTGTGGACGGGCTGAGGTAAAAAAGCTCCTTTGTGGTCCAGCTGTTACTGCGGGCCACAGCTCGTCCAATAAACTGTCAAGGCTTAGCACGTAAACTTTCTGTCACCCAATCTGACAAATGAAAGAGGCTGGATTTGAAGCAGCTCCTCATGCACCTTCTCAAGCGGCCTGTCAGCTGTCGGACATGTGTGCTAACACACAAACTCTCAGATTAGGATGGAAATGAAGGGGCTTCAACATGTAGCTCAGATGGACCCTTTGAGGGGTTGCTCTGGTGAAGGTAGTTACTATGGCGACCTGCTCCCTGGGGGCAGCTTTTTTCTGATGGGTGGCAGTAGGAAGCCATAGGCAAGGCAACTGAGAGAGCAGTGAGAAAAGGGGAGGTGAATATGTGTTTCCCATGGTTAGGGTTTATGAAAAAAGGAAAGAAAAAAAAGTGACAGCAGCTCTGGACTGTAATGTCTAAAAATATTTATTTTTCCTAACAAACCCTCAGGAGAGGTCTGAGAGAGCGGGGGGAGGAGGGGGCACGGCACACAGATACACAGAGACACAAACAGTCTACTGGCTTCCTCAAGGTTGCTGAATGTGCTTTTGCCAAGAGTCTAACGCTGTGGTCTCACAGTGCAAGGCCACAAACGGAAACACCAGAGGCTCGAAGATGATCGCACATCTGCAACTTTCCCAATCAGGGGATTTGAGCCAGCTGCGCCATCAGAGCAGTAAAGTCACAAGTTTACTAATCACTCTGGAACATGTGGACAGCAGCGCTGGTGTGCGGTTACTCTGAGAGTATATATAGTCTATATATCATTTCTCTGGGCTCAGTGTTTTTTATTGCCAGCATCACAAGAAGCTCCCACAGCTCATTCACCTCTGATCCAGTTCTGTCTGTCACAGTGTTCACAGCAGCTCACTTATCTTTGTTGCACTCCTCCACAAGCAGCACTGCTAAAGAACAGACTCTTCAGATCTGTTTAGTTCGCTGTGTGGTTGCTGGTAAAGTGACAGACTGTCAGAAACACGAGTATGCATTGTACTGCTGACAGGAAGGACTTCTTCACAACCTGAACTAGCACAACCAAGCAGCTTTTGTAATACTTTACTGCTAAGTAGGGTATAAAATTAACTTGTTCCTTTTTGCTAAACAGAAATGTAGTGGGTTGGTAGATTCAAAGGGTTTATTAAACACCGTAAATAAGTTAAACCTGAAAATACTGTCAATAGCCATGTCTTTAGGGATAAAATTGCTCTATAAATCAAACTGACTGATATATAGACAAACTCTTTTAGTTAAACCCTTCAGAAGACAAACATGAATGAAACTGTAAAGTCTGGTACATAAACAGTGTAAAAAGTAAGGAGATTTGTGTTTGGCTGATTATTTCTTTGTTGTAAAAATGCATCTTGGTAATAAATCTTTTACGGTTGGGAAGTTTATTTCCTCTTAAACAGAGCCACATTTGTGGGTTGAGCAGCAGAGTTGAGCATGTGGGTTTTGCCCATAAAAAACCCCAAATCTTCAACTTATTCTGCTATTGACACTTCTTTTGAGCTTCTGGTACCACAGGTGCTGACAATCAGGCTCCAATCAAGGCTGATTGTCAGCACCTGTGAGCATGGACCCTGTGGTTAGTTGGTGTCTACTCCAAGCATACCATGTCTGACTGTTTGTAAAAAGGGCCCGTGCCACAGGGGAACTTCAAGCTGGTGAAGATTCTTCAATAAACATGACACCAATTAAGAGTCAATATCAGAATAAGCAGTTTGGCATTGACAGAGAAGATTTGCCAAGTTTTTCATGGGCGTAACCCTCATGCTCAACTCTGCTGCTCAACCCTGCTTCTCAACCCTGCTGCTCAACTCTGCTGCTCAACCCTGCTGCTCAACTCTGCTGCTCAACCCTTAAACGCATTTTTCTTTTTCTAAAAGTGGCTCAATTTAAAGGGAAATGAACAGGTGTTCCAATGGTATAATATTTATTGCCAAGGAGCATTGCTACAACAAAGAAATAACCCTGCAACAAGTTTGCTTACTATTTGTGCTACACCAAGATGTTTCTGAAGTAAAAAAATATATAAATTTTTACCGGAAAAAAGTAATTACCATATTACTAACATTAATAAATGACTGTTTGATTTAGGATGTTTCAATAAAGTGAGGTATCTCCTTGAGTATGCATCTATTTCTATAAAATCCAAGTGATAAATTGTAAACTAAAAAAATGACATGTGTATTTTGGACATTCTTTCCTCTAGTCCAAAAGACAACGCATCAGAGAAACAAATCATTCCAAAATATTAACAGGGACCAATACATTATAAAAATAATAAATATATGTTGTACTGCATACAATTTAATGACAAAAATATGTTTAATCACCAAACATGTTTCAAGATCTGTGCCAATTGGAAATATCAGATGACGAGTATCATTTAGATTATGTGCAAATTAAAAACTGCTCATATCAACAAAACATTTCTCTACTTTCAGATGCACAAATGCAAATATATGCTATGGGTGGACAATTCAAATGTCAGTATAAATACAAATACATAAATTGTTCACATTAAAAAAACAAAAAAACACAACTGAGGATTTAGATGAGCTATGCACGCTGACAGAACTCAAACTCAAGCCTGACAATAACTTGATGATATGCTGGTCATTCAAGACCTAAAACCTTTTCTTGCAAAGGATTTTTTCCCCTGTTATATACACCACATATGAGCAGCAACTTCAGACTTTGGGTGTAGGCATTTATCTGGATCTTACTTTAACTAAAAACCAAAACACCCAAATTGTGCTCCCTGATGGCAGCAGCCTTGTCTCATAGGACAATGTACCCCATCACACTACAAACTGCTGACAGAGCAGGGCGGCACCAGCAGAGTCAGATCATTTTTAGGGACGGCCACTGGGGTGGCAAAGAAACATATGTTCTCTTTTGTCGTTGTTCCCCACTACCAAGAATATCATCATTAGCCAGGTCTATGAGTGTGTGTCTAGCCTCCTGGCCACACATGGCCAGCCACTCTACAAAACACAGAACCTAAAAGAACTGGTAGATCTGGTCCACCATCCACCCCACCCCCAGAGGTTCTCGTAGCCAATCTGTCTGAACACTATAAAACTGATGGTTTTAATCTTGTGGCTGACAGGTGTACGCTCTGATTGTGTGCCATGAATCTACTCATCACTCTTTGTGTGCTCTAGACTATCCAGTAAGATTTATGCTGACCTTAAAGCAACAGTTGCTGTTGTATTTTTTGCTTTGTTGAAGTTTGTCAGTGTGAGACTGGCATAGAAGGAAAATGCAATCATTTATAGCTGAAAATAAGTCGCTAAAGAAAAAGGTCAGCACATAAATTTTTAAGATTAACTCTAAAGCACAATAAAAACCAGGAGGTATGGTTTAGCATGTTTGTAAAGAAACAAGTGCAAGTTGACCCTAATGTGTCTGCTTCCATCCTCAACGCACTGAAAATCTACAGCATAAAACTTTATTAGCTTTTAGTTGAGTCCTCCACAAGACTTATAGCCATTATAAAATAATGTTTCCATTTCAAACTGAATGGACGAATCAACCAGTTGCTACTTTACAGCATAATGACATCAGATGACAACCTTAGTCTATTTTTAAATCTGCAGTGTGAGAGGACAGATTGTTTCTTGAATGTGTATTTTATCTCGCTCCAGATCAAAAACAGGCCATGCTGCAGATTAGATCTTGAAGCATAAGGTCAGTGCTGAGCAAATTCTGCAGGTTTTAGAAATCAAACCTCCATGGAGCTTCAGCGGAGTCGATGGATGGACAGTGGGCGGTACAGGATAATGTTATCGATCTGTAAGTCTGCAGGGCGTCCTGGAGCCAAGCTACGGTATTGACAAGCATATCGAGTAAAGTCATATCATGCACCAACCAGACTGGCGCTGGCGTATAGTCTCTTGCTCTCTCTTTCTCTCTCTCTCTCTCTCACACACACACACACAAACAAAGAGAGAGCGAGAGAGAGAACTCAGCTGCATTTTTCATGAGAAATCAGAAAATAAATATTTTATCCAGGTGTGTAGTGTAAATTCAATTATGTATTTGTTCTTTGATTCCCTTTCCTTTGAGGCAGATTGAATGCAAAGCTGATGAAACAGCAGCAGGCTTCAAGCTCCAACAACCACCTTTCACATCAAT